TGCGTCACATGAAATGCTTTGACGTTCACCGATATTCTGTCGCGACAATTATATTTCAACATTATAATTACGTAATTGAGTTGCGAATATACATACATACATACATACATACATACATAAATGTGTGTGTGTGTGTGTGTATGTGTGTGTGTGTGTACAAGGTGCTTGTACACACACACACACACATACACAAACACACACTTTTTTAGCCGTTTGCGTTTCACGCGTTCGCAATCTCAATGAGGAAGATGCGATGATTTACGATGCGTTCAGTCCCCTTTAGTGAGAAACATTATTTTTGCGTTGTGCTTTTTGCGTATCTTGTTTTCCTCGTACATACGCGTACATTGTTTCCATGAGTATGTCTCGCTGGTTGAGAAATACTGCGTTAAAGCTTAGCAGACAATAATATGATGTTAGTTATACACGTATATAATATATATATATATATACATCCGTTAAGAATATTAACGTGACTAGGATTACGCGTGAATCGAAAGGAGAATCTGCTCTTCCGCGCCGTGCACATAATTAACGCGCGATAATAATAGCGTTAATAACGGCACGCGCGCATATACCGCGCGCGATCATGATTCACGTCTCCGTGTTCAGAATTCTCCGGTCCGATGGAATCGCCCCGTAAGTATTAATTAAGGTTAACCGGAGTTTAATCGACCCTCGGTAACTCTCCTTCCCGTTCTGTCTTGACTCGGCCGAGGGTCCGTCAAATTTCACTTGACTTTAATTAACGTCTGCGTCACGATGGCACGTAGTAGATAACATCGTAAAGTTGGATGTTTAGCGATAATGTCGTATTCTTCGTCTTCACTAGAACACGATAGCGAGATTGATCGACCGACGAATAGTGATCATCGTTGAGACTGTCGTCGCGATGAAACATCCATTCTTTACGCTAACCTATTTTATTCATTGCCACGAATCCATTCTTCTTTACGAGAACAATTATAGCACACTTCGAGCGTTTTCTAACGATCTTCGAAGCGAAATGATATGTACACGATACGAACTCGAAACAAAAATATATATGTATATATATATATATATATGTTTATATATATATATATATATATTGTTTTTGATCGTTTATATATTAGTAGGCCTGTGCTCTATATACGTGTAGTCGCATATTAGAGATTATTGTTACACGCAACGGTGCAATCTGGTTTGTTACTGAATTATGGCATACAATAATTATTATGTAAAATATGTATATGTATATTGTAATTTTCAGTGTATTATGTAATTAAAACAAAAGAGAGGGAGAGAGAGAGAGGGAGAGAGAGAGAGAGAGAAAGATAGATAGAGATAGAAAGAGAGAAAGAGAAGGAGAGAAAAAGAGGTAGAGATACCGACGGCTATTGACAATAAATCGTGAGCCGATCTTTTTCAAAAGTCGTTCCTCCTCTGGATCTTTGATTAACAAGCTCGTACTTGCGGAGAGCTGCGGGCATAATAAATGCAACGTTCATGGTAAGAAGACTCACCTCGCATTCATTTCGCATTTATTTCTCTGTGTGTCGTATGCGCGCGACGGCCGTCCTATAAAACCGCATTAATGAACGATAGAGATGAAAGAAAGATGAGAAACGTCGCCGGCATAAAAACATCCTTACTGGGGCAGACTGTGAAGAGAATTGCTCAATCTGGAGAGACCATTAAACGCGGCGCGTTATACATATGCCCTCGTTCGCGTTTGCTATTATCATAAAAATCGTCTGTCGCACCTTGACTGCCGCGCTGTCATATGTTATTTGCATATCGTTTCGCGCATGTATGTAACATCTGGTTGCACGTAGTATTTCCTATAACGTTCAGCCGACGCTGTGGAGTAAGCGCACAATGAAGATCTGGAAGTAATGCTCGGACGTTTTAATCGTTGCTTTTGTCAAACGCACGATTTAAATCTCACAACGTTCTTGTGTAAAGAAAATGAATCGCAAGAAAAAGAGGTAAGTATATCGACTCATTAGCACCAGGAGTAATTCCAATGTTATTTATGATTATACACGTGATATCTCAAGATAATTTATACACTGAGAAAAAATTGTATTAAAATCAAACGAACAAATTTGTTTGAATACGACTGTGAATACATTTATTCAAATTAAACGACTCATTTCTAAAATGAAATACAGAGGTTCTGAATGTAAACTTTTTTCTTGAATTTTAGAAAATAGTTGCTTAATTTAAATAAATGCATTCACAGTCGTATTCGAACGAATATTTGTTTAATTTTAATACAATTTTTTCTCAGTGTATTATAAAATATGTGCAATTATGATTACAATTTTATGACAATTGGGTAAGAGTTCAGAAACGTCACGTTTTTTCATCTCGAGAGATCGCGTGGATAAGCGCACGGCTTTATGGCAAACATTCGCCGACGCAGTACGGCTATTTCGCGCGAACTCGAGGATCGCAGAAAGAGGAAGTTCGCTTTGCGCGGATAATTTTCACTCTCGTGCGTTTACCTCGCGTGAGCAAACAGGCCCCGCTCGTAATTCGCGACGCGAAACAGCCGGACACGAAAGTGAACGCGACGGTTCCAAGCGCCACGCCTCGAGAGATCATTCTCTCTCTCTCTCTCTCTCTCTCTCTCTCTCTCTCTCTCTCTCTCTCTCGCCCTCGCCCTCGCCCTCTCCCTCATTTCCCCGCAGTCACAACAGTGATTTGTGCATACTGCAATCGCTAAAGTGACGCTTCGAAGTCATTTCTCGCGTATTACGCACAAAGTATTGTCCGTCGTGCACAATGTGCCATTTAATTGTGCACGGCAGAGAGCGCAATTCAACGGGCGCAGCGCGCGTGAGAGTGAACCCTCTAATAATATCTTTCGGATTAATTGAGCGCGCGCATTCGCGGGAAGATGCTTTCGTGATTTCCTAACGCTTTCATCATAATCACATTTGTAACGCCCAGGAAAGCGCGCGTCCAACGAGGTGGAGCTCGCTCGTTGCTCTCGCTCTCCGCTGGCTGTTGGAAAACACGGCGGAATCTCAGTCGCTTCCGGTGCTTTATTTAATCATTTTCATTCGTCTGCCCCGCCTTCGCCGCAGGAGAAACGAATCTCGGCGATCATGCCGAGCGATCGTCAAGTGAGAGATTGGAGATCCTGCCGAGCCGGCGAGACAGAAGGAGCCGCGGCGTGGGGATTCGCAGATCGATACCGATGACGATGAAACTACGGAACTTTCGCTCCGGTAATCCCGTGTGTGAAATCGGGCGTCTCAACGACCAGCGCGACCGGCGCACAGTGGATCGAAACTTCCAATTCTGTGGACATCGACTAAAATTCTGTCCGGAAACAAAATTTTGTGCAGGAATAAGTTTCAATGAAATTAATTTTCATAAAATATTTTATTTATAATATTTTCATGTACCATTTTGATAATAATAGTATTGTAACGAATATATATAAATATATAGTGTTCCTATTCGGTTTCAACAACTAGTACCACGTCAAGGTAAGGAACAAGCTAGCCTTGAGCAAGTAATATCAAATCTTCTTGCATAAATTCAATTAATAAAATATTTGTTACATATTTTTGAAAATTTTACGATTAAACAATCTGTATGAAAACACAAGAGAAAATTGCAAGACTAGTGGATTTTGTAAAACAAAATTCGTGAAAACAGCCAAGGATAACAATACAGCATAGAGGTTCTTTGCAAATCCTTTGATTACGTGTACTATGAATAGAACTGGATTAAACGAAAGGACTATCCGAAATTTTGAGATTCTTTTTCAATCCGTTGCAACAGATTGAAAACAGAAAAAAATTTATGTCTTGTTTCTTATCTATGTGACGCTAACTTGAAACCAAACAGGAATATTTAAAATTCAATAAAAAATATTGTTTTCAAAAAATATTATGGAAATATAAACAGAAATTTTACTGAAATTTTCATTACAAATGATTTCTGAGCGAAATTCTGTCTCCGAACCGAATTTTCATTCATGTACAATTGTATTGGGTTGGCAACTAAGTGATTGCGGATTTTGTCGACAGATGGATTTTACACTTTCTTTTGTTTCGTTAACGTGTTCAAAGTACTTAACCTATATTTTTTTCTTATTGTTTGGACTTCTACCTTTCATTTAGTACAAAAATTATATCGATTAGTTCTTTAGTTTTGTTTTTATCCCAATTTAAAAATCGAAGAGCAAGACGTGCACTTCAGACATATTTTATTGTATTATTTCCGAAAAGGCAAGAACGCATCGCAAGCACACAAGAAGTTATGCGCCGTATATGGGAATGAAGCCTTGAAAGAAAGGCAGTGTCAAAATTGGTTTGCCAGATTTCGTTCTGGTGATTTTTCATTGAAAAATGCTCAACGATCTGGCCGTCCAGTTGAAGTCGATGAGACCCATATCAAGGCCATTATCGATTCAGATCATCATAGCACAACACGTGATATTGCAGAGAAGCTCAATGTATCGCATACATGCATTGAAAAAAATTTAAAAAAGCAAATTTAAAATTTTGAATTTTCATTCTTATTTAAAATCCGCAATCACTTAGTTGCCAACCCAATACATAATACATAGATTAGATGGTTTCTATCCACTATACGATGTATAGGAGAAAAGATCGCACGAGATTGCAGCTGAAACCTATACGGTTTTTTATTATATGAATGATTTCTTTAAATCCTATTTAGTAGATCTTGAATAAATATGGACATTTTTTTTAATTATTCAAACACGTATGAGTTGAGTTACGATTTCGTTCTAATTCATCATAGAGAAAAATACGTAAAATATAACAAAATCTAGCAACGGATATGATAAAAATGTTCTTGAAGAACCATAGAATTGTGTATACCATAAGATAGACAAGGATCGATAATTATTTATATAAAATATAGCGAACACAAATGGACGACTTATGCTTAACATATTTTACTTATCATAAAAACTCGAGACTTTAGACGTTTACAGTATCTATATTACTCATTACTTTATATTTTCTGCATTCGGATCATATATTAGAACTATTTTACAATACATTCTTGTAGATGAAGTTGTGAAATTCGAACTTTTATTTTTTGGCTCGATGTTCACCTTTTTCTCATCGTTTCAATCCACTGTGCGGCGCTCGCGACCATTTCAACCGTTTCGTATTTTTCTTTTCTTTTTCTTTCTTTTTTCTTTCAAGACAGAGCATGTTAGCCGTGTTAGCCCTCGTGCACCCTTTGCGAGGACAGCAAGACTTGCCTCCCGAGTAGAGGTGTAATTTTTCTTCAAAGTCTTCGTATTTGAAGCTTCGAAGCTTCGATACAAAATATTCGACGATCGAAGTTGCATCGAACCTTCGAAGTTTGAGTCTCCGAACTTCGAAATTTCGAGAATTCGAAGATGCTCGGGGATCGAAGCACTAGCCGAAACTTTTGTTATTCACGGAAGCTTCGAATGATTCGAAGCTTCGGGACCTCGAAGCTGTCGAAGAGAGTAACAACCCTACTGCCGAGTGGCGCGAAATGATCGGGCATACGAGAGGCTTCGGTCGTGTCCGCGTCCGCGTCAACGCGGCCGTCGCATAAGAGAGAAAGACGAGAGCCGGCCCGATGAGACGCGAGAAGAGCGCGGCTCGTTACTTTCTAAATTCCCCCGCGGGCGTATATATCCCCCGGTGACTTTACATTTTGCAATGCACCGCGCCGTGGCGGGAATCGCGTTCGCGTGTTTTTCGAGACCGCGTGCCTGGATGTTATATCACAAGCTACGGGATCGTGGGAGATGGCGGTCAGTGCCGTGAGACAGCTCGTGCTCGTCCTTTGCGTCCTGCTGCAGTACCGTAAGTACCGCCGGCTCGACGTCGCTTCTGCCGAGCGACGGCTCCTCCTCGCGGCCGCGCGATCCAAATCGCCGTTCGGTCGTTGTGCCGCGATCAACCGATTTACCTCGCGCAAGCTCTCGATCGAAAGCTCTTCCCGTGCGCGAGCGATCCGACCGGGCTGACGTGAAGACGAAGTAAAATAGCTCGGGAGCGAGAAACGCTCTTTGTAGTGCACGAGGGACTCGTTCTTACGTGTTTCAATCAGGACGACGTTGGTAAGTTGGAAGATGAAAGCGATGCGACGACAAGATGTGAAGATGTGAAATCGATTGCACGTCATGTTGAAATAAAACAGTGGATTATATTCGCCCACACTGCAAGAAGGTATCTGCTGGAACATTCCCTGAAAAATGATTCTTCTCGTAGTGATATCGGTAACATTGTTTCAGCATCTCTCCGGTAACTCCGATTCCTTTGAACATCCGAATTTAGCTCTCGCGGTCAATTTCTTTCTCGCAGAAAGAACACATGATCTGGCCATGATAGCTTTTATCCCAAGTCCAATGTAGTTGATGAAAGAAAGAAGAGTCGACGAGACGTCACGAAAGAATGGCTGCGAGGAAAGGATCGCAACGTGCTGAGTTTTTGTGTCGAGAACGACCTGGGTGACTTCCGGTTCACCGAGAAGGAAATTCGAAAGACGGCGGGAACACTTGGAGAGAGAAGCCGAGGATACCTTGCATCTCCAGTATTCCGTGTTTTCCGGTGTTGCACCGATGAATGATAAACTAACGAGACCGCGACATTGTCGACCTTCACCTGGTTTCGCTTTATCGATAATTTCCAGTGCGCGAGATACATAACTCTCATTACGCGACTGTGATCCACTAACAAACGGAGCGTTTAACGGAGCGCGTCGGTTTCAGTCGGAAAGTCGACAATGGTGTTGAGGCGATCGATCCGTTATATTTTGCAGGCCATGTGACGGCTCAGAATAAGACCCTCCGGGACCTCTTCAACAGCACGTCTTGCGCTAAACCTCCTTACATCTGCCCGCATCCGCAGATAGAGTTCTATCTGTACACCAGGTAGGTGTTAATATTTCCCCTGTTAATTTTTCAAAGTAATTCCATCCGGCTGCGACGTGAATTTTAATTAGCGAAAATTGGATCCCGTGGATCCAAATTGGATCTCGAGCGAGAATATCAATCCGAGTCGACTCAATCTCAATTAATATCTGTCTGTTTTCCTCTCCATATTTTACTCTCTTTGTATAACACATATGTAGATAATGGTTGATTTGTTCGGTCCGGATCGCTCGCGGATGAAACTTCGCACATTGAGGTGCCGTTTTCGATGTCAGTTTCTTCACTTTTCCCCGAAGGACGATCTTTGAAACGATATGAGGAAACAGACAGTCAACGTCACGACTCTCGATTTCAAGATCACGATCATTTCATGCTGTACTGAAAGTGGCCTCCTTTTCAAGGCTTACCTTTCTCCGACCGCTATAGTATCGTTCGCTGTCACGTCTCGAATGCTCTCACTACCGTCTATATTTGCGTAGCTGAGGCAACGCGTGAAACGCGTGAAAATAAGACAAAATAAAAAATCGCACTCGTTTGAACCTGACGCTACAAGACCGATGTCTCTTTTGACTTCCAGAGACACGCAGCAGGACCCGGTGCTGTTGGACGTACGGAACTTCAATTCCCTGCGAAATTCCAAGTTCAACAAGTCTCACTCCACGAAAATCATCATTCATGGCTTCGGCGGTGGACGAAACTTGGCACCCAGCACGGATCTACGAGATGGTAAGATTGGCGAGTTTCCGTCACGCTCAAATTGCACGCTGCTTCCGGCTCGTGGAGTTCCGGCTCGTAATGTTTCTTCGCCCACGTAGAAAAATAATAATCGCGACAATTGTAACAATTGCGATCATCGGCGATGAATGATGAAAATGAGAAAAATACACTTCGCACTTCGCACAGGGTTATACAGGATGTCCAAAAGGTCCCGGACCGGCAAAATATCTCGGAAACAAGACTTGAGAAAAAAATGTTTCACACAAGAGTCATATGGTTTCAAAGGAGACATAAAACAACTATATCATACATTTCGTTTACAGATGGCGTCACGAGATATTCATTACTTCTCTTAATCGTTACTTTTCTTAAGCGGATACCCCAGTTTTTTATTGTATCATCTTTTTCTATCAATCAATTTGAACAACTTTTGTCCGAAACATTCTTTTATTTGCCTAATATTTTTTGAGATATTTAAGGAAAACTTGGTAATTGTTTTAACTATATATATTTAGCTCTATATATCTCGCTGTTTGTCGGAAGAGAAAGTGGTACTAGACCTTTTTACTTTATTTAGTTTCAAGAATATATTGTATGCAAGAATATATTAACGCGCTGACTTTTGTTAATTTGATGATTTCGAAATTTCCAAAAGTCGATACTTTTCCGGGACTTTTTGGACACCCTATATATCTCTGTGTAAAGACTATCGAAAGACTGCAAAATAAGTTCCCGAATGGGAACCAAGTCCTCGGAGGAGAAGACGAAGAGAGTGATCTCTGCGTCGACTGGACGATCGTGGCGGTAGCCGTAACGCACCTTCGATTTCAGCATATTTCAAGCGGGGCCATTACAATATCATAATTGTGGATTACGGCTCGTTGGTACGCGAGCCCTGTCTCGCGCAGATCCAGTGGGGCCCGGACTTCTGCTCGCAATGCGTCGCCCAGCTGGTGAAGTACCTGAGGGACCATCCCCGGGGCACGCGGGTGGAGAACATACACGTGCTCGGCTACAGCGTGGGCGCGCATATCGCCGGGCTCATCGCGAATTACCTGCCCGATGACAAGCTCGGGAGAATTACGGGTAATTGCTCGTATGCCGATCTCGCAATTTGTCTGTCGCACTTGTTTACCGATACCACCGTTTACACGACGCGCACAGCGCACGCCGGCGAGATGCGCTCGCGCGCGTCTCACTTTGTAATCGCAGACGGTAACTCAGAGATAACTCACGTACGCTTCCTGTACGCGCGTGACACGCAGGCCTCGATCCGACGATATTTTTCTACATGAACGGCAACCGCTCGATGGATTTAGACGAGACCGATGCCCATTTTGTGGACGTGATCCACACGGGCGCCGGGATCCTGGGGCAGTGGGGGCCCAATGGCCACGCGGACTTCTACGTGAACGGCGGCTCGAGTCAGCCCGGCTGCGCCACTTCTTCTATACTCCGTAAGTAGCACTCACCGCTCCGGGATCCGCCGGATCGGCATAACGGTAGAATCCGTGTCTATTTTTTTCCTTTTTTCATCGAGTTTTCGGTAGACCGAAATTATATAGAACGCCAAAATTATTAGAGGTAGCAGAAAGTCTCCTCGTGTTTCCGTGTTCTTCACTCTTGGTTCGAACACTGCCATTTTCCAAGAGTAAGTTCGATCTTCTAATGAAAGTTGACCGTATACACGATAAAGAAATATTACTAACTAACCTGGAATTTAATTACATTAATTAATTAAATTATTAAATAAATAATATTAAATAAGTTAATATATATATATATATATATGTATAAACTGAATGATTTATTTAATTAATTAATTAATTAAATTAATTCTGAATTAAAATTAAGAGCCCGTACTACAACCACGGGAATTGAAGGCTTTAAAATACTTTAAAAGGACACACTTTCCGATACCGCTGATATATAGAAATTATATATAGGATGATATATCAGGGACGTCACGCTCGACGAAAGTGCTCGAGATAGATCTCTGTTTTTTTCCGGTGCGCCAAACGACCGTTTCCTCCGCAGAGACGCTCTCGTGCGACCACACCAAGGTGACGCCCTATTACATAGAATCCATCACGACGAAGAAGGGATTCTGGGCGGCACCGTGCGCGAATCTGTTCTCTTACCTGATCGGATGGTGCAATCCCAAAAAAGAGGAGTACATCTTGATGGGGGAGGATTCCCCTCATACGTGAGTGAGCTGCACGTCTCTTGGCGTTTCGTTCCGTCTCGTCCTGCAGTGAACGCTAAGCTTCAATTGAGTCTCCGACATTTACTATTTATTTTATTTATTTATTTTACTATATTTATTTTATTTTAGTCAATTTAAAACTCGCATTAATCTTCCTAATCGTTCGTGTCGTGTCTGAATACGAATATGCATTGTGATTGTTAATTAGCTTACTAATTATTTCTTTTTATAATCTGTTTATATAATATCATATTATTGCATATAATTTCGACCTAGTAGATTAAGAAATTTTTTAGTAGGTAACAAGACTTTATTGAAGTTTAGGGCATTAGCCGGCATTTCGGTGTTGAATTGCTTCTAAAGAAAGTTCAAAGTCAAAGAGGGGCCAACCTTTTCGTTTCATTAACGCTCACGTATGAAACCGACAGAGCACGCGGCATCTTCTATCTGTCAACAAACGCACGCAGACCGTACGCCCGAGGACTGCCCGAAAAAAGCCAGCGTCGGACAAGTCGGAAGCAATCGTCCTCCCGCCAGTATTAAGTCTGCTGAAGCAGCTGATCAACATAATTATAGAGTAGCGTTAGCTATGTGCGTCACGTCTCACCGAGAGAGTTTTCTCCTCTTAAAGTTTCACGTCAAATTACGTCAATCTTACTTCGTGAGATTTCGACCGAGAGTTCGCTGCTCGCCGCTCGCAGAAAAGTGCTGCTTCTCCTTCTCTCGTCGAAATCCTTCCTTTCGAGAAACGAAAAGCAGCGATCGGGTATAGTCTTCGTGTCGTAGTCCGACGTTCATTGACGTCTCATTAATCGCCGCGATTTCGACGTTTCACGTGTCCACGTAACACTTTCACTCGCCGCACTTCTCTCGCTCGTTGTGGAATTTTAATCGCGCGTTTATTTAAAGTCGCGTGCTTACCGGTCAACTCTCGATGCGTTTACGCAAACAAATCGAGTTATAGTCCTTCAGGTATATTCATGTATTTTTCTTTCTTTTTTTTTTTCTTTCTCGGCAAAGCAACGCTTTATCCTCGCGAAAGAAACCACGGAGAAGTGGGCTCAAAGGGTTTAAGCCACGATCAGTCAGTATAAATTTGCGCAATGATGAATCAAGGTCGCGATGGTGCAACGTGCGCCGTTAGTTTATAGTTTCGAGTATACATCTCGCATTGACACGCTTATGACGTAATCTTGACGTAGCGAGAGGAAATAATTTATTTCGATAAACGTAAGAAAGATCGTCGTTCCTTCGCACTTTTGTCGACACCGAGAGTTCTTAGCTCCGATATCTTTCTACGCTCCGGTGTAACGTTACACTTTATATGTATGTTTTTATACGTAATTTAGGTTTCGTGTAATCGTGTAAGGTGCAATTAATTTAAGAACCCACGACTCGGGGAGCGAAAAGCACTGTCGACCTGTAAAGAGATTTTTAGAATACAAACATCGCTCGGAGAGGATCGTAGTTACTTTATTTATTTCACGATCTGCACACACACACACACACTCACTCTCTCTCTCTCTCTCTCTCTCTCTCTCTCTCTCTCTCTCTCTCGCTCCCCCTTCCCTTCTCCTTTCAACAGATCGCACACGGGTGTACCACTCGAAACAATATCAGACCATTTATGTTAACAACAATATTTATTACATAATAATATTACGATATAGTAATAACTTCTATGGATTTACAGTACACTGCCGCACTAATCCTTAATAATATGTATAATATGCAATGGAATGATTACAAGTTCGTCGATACATCCTCGCTTCAAGTCGGAGGCACCTCGACGGCCTCGGGCTATTGTTCTTTTTCTATCTTGATGGAACTCCTTCGCGAGTCTTCGTTCGTTCTTTCTCAAGTGTGGATGTGCGATTCTTACGCGGCCGGTGCTCGCGACGTCAAACTATGCGCATGCACGCTATACACGGTAGACAAAAACGCATCCGACTTCGTTCCTTCGTAAATGTCTCTTCGACTTAGCAATTCTGCGAGCAGTTCGCCAGCACCGTCCGCATAGGTCTTGAGTGACACGAGATAGCTAGAAAACCAAGTGTTATCTTACGTGAAAGAACGTGATAATCTACCGTAAAAAGTGGACAGTACCAATCCCCTCTCTGGTTAGCTTATCGTCGTTAAAATGCTAAATTCTGATGCAAGGGTTTGCACATTTTGCATGATGATGACGGCGTGGTCGACTTTAATGATGCAAAGGGTAAACGTAACGAACGTCGTCCCGACACGATTAGCGAAAAATTTCGAGAGGAAGCGATCGCGTCGATCGCCCACGTCGACTGGCCTGGCTTTCAGTCGTGATCAACGAACAGTCAACAGCAGGGTTTCCCAATTCTTTTTTTGTATTTCGCACCCCTACAAAAATTTATTAATGAACATCCGCACTCCCTACAAATTTATTCGTATATATTATGGTAAAAATAACATAACATAATATAACACCGAGACGGCCAATCGACCTTTTCGAATGTATCGAAGCGGATGAAGAGAGAGAGAGAGAGAGAGAGAGAGGGCGGGAGGGGGAGAGAGAGAGAGAGAAAGAGAGGGAGATAGGAGAGGGGTGGAGTAGAGCGATGGTGTGAAGAGGAGGGAGGCGGGGAGTTAGTTTTTATATTCAGGACCGTCTTGAATTCATCTTCAGATGCTTTTTAACCAATAGAACGATGCATTTTTAACCAACAGATGATCTTGAATGGAAATATTAAACGTCGAAATCCATTGGTTATTCATTGGTTACGCGTTACTATATGCAGAAAATATATGTCATGGAATTTCAAACTGTATGCACCTAATACATCGTATGCGCTTAATACGTCGTTGGATGTTCAGATATTATTAAACTTATATTACACTACAGAGATGATTTTTATAATTTATAATATTTATTCTAAACTTTAATATGAATAAGCTAAAATGGCGCGCGCTACGCGCGCGCTTGTAGTGTTCTAGTAATAATAAAAAATATATAATTTCAATAACATTTTTTTTTAATTTGATGGTAAAAATGCCGGATTATACCAGAATTCATCTTAATCATTATTAATTACAATTACTTTTTCTCGCACCCCTGGTTGGGAACCCCTGGTCAATAGCACCAAATTTCGTATTACATCGCGATTGTGGCTCGATCACGCAAGAAAGTACGATTCGGAGAGTCGCGGGCCGATGATCGCGCCGCCTAATGTATATTTATCACCAAGAGTACAAAACGCAGAGGAATCGCCTTGTGCTTGCGATAATAAATATTAGGCTGATCAGCAACGCGCGACTGTTATAGTTTTCAGAGTACGCTTCCTCATCGCGAAATTTCCCAAAGAGGTCTCTGCCAACGGATCGAGACGGCACTTTTAATTTATTCATTATACTCTTTCACTCGGCGGATAAACATCTGGCCGATCTGTGCGATCGCTCTTCTCTCTCGATACTTTCCACTTACGGAACGTTAAACTTCAACATTTCGAACGCAAAAGTCGCACAACGCGCTGAGCTCTGTTCCTCTGATATTTCCTCTTTTCCAGTCGATAGCGGGAGAAAGTAATATCTCGATGGTTCGTGGGGCTAATGATCATGTCGCGAGATACAACAAAGTCGTCTCAAAGCAAATCACTTTGTTCTCGTTTCTGCGATGTGAGAAGAAAGGTCAATCTACAGTGGAATCGCGAACGCAAGACGGGTTTTGATACTTCGTCAATCACGTCGGGGACGTTATTTCCAGACTAACAACTACAGCTTTACAAACACTCTTCGTCCCGATTTTATTTACATTTTTCTTCGTGCGCTACGTGCTGTTCGAATCGGCATACATGTGCATAAATGGATTTAACGCTGACGTATATCGATTACACAGGCCGACAAAATTTTACGAAACTCCAGACCCTGAGACCCTGAGACTATACTTTCCCGAAGGTTTACGGTCCGCTGAATCCGAATCCGGCAGCGGAATTGCTCCGTCACATCAGGTTTTCGAGATATCCTAATCTGAAAGTGCAAAAAACACAGTTTTTCACTATATTCGGGGTTATATTACAACGTGAATTAATTTTTCTCTACAAAACTCGTTACAGTATCTGAAAGTACTACTCTTCGCCTTCAAAATGCATTTTGAATTTTTCATATATCTTATTTCTTCTCGGAGATATCGTCCGTTGAAATTTTTTAGTTTGGCGTTTTCGTTACTACCTTACAAAAAAAAAGAAGTTAATCCGGTGAAAGTTGTGTAATTATATGTTTTTTGGGACGCTGAATCCAAATTCGTTGTCGAAGATTTTCCTCAAAAAAGATCAATTATAATTGATCAAAAAAAGGCGAATTCGAAAATCTTTTTTGAGGTTAGGGACAAACCATGACCTGATGGGGTTGAACCGACAACGAATTCGGATTCAGCGTCCCAAAAAACATATAATTACACAACTTTCACCTGCCGGATTAACTTCTTTTTTTTTTGTAAGGTAGTAACGAAAACGCCAAACTAAAAAATTTCAACGGACGATATCTCCGAGAAGAAATAAGATATATGAAAAATTCAAAATGCATTTTGAAGGCGAAGAGTAGTACTTTCAGATACTGTAACGAGTTTTGTAGAGAAAAATTAATTCATGTTGTAATATAACCCCGAATATAGTGAAAAACTGTGTTTTTTGCACTTTCAGATTAGGATATCTCGAAAACCTGATGTGACGGAGCAATTCCGCTGCCGGATTCGGATTCAGCGGACCGAAAACCTTCGGGAAAGTATAGTCTTATCTCAGGGTTTTAAAAATGTCGGCCTGTGTTATTAAACGAAGATCCGCCTTTCTCCCTTCCCCCCTCATTCTTCCACATACACACGCACACGCACGCACGCACACACACACGCACACACACACACACACACTCTCTCTCTCTCTCTCTCTTTGTCTTTCTGCTTCCCTCTCTCCAGTCCTTTTTCGACTCCACTCAAAGCACTCGCAGAATTGTATTTATTTGGAGAACGATTCACGCTCGAAAGTCGCCCACCTCACGACGGTTTTCTCATCGAAGCTGAGCGGACGTGTCGCAGTTTTAAGGATGACCCGATACTAAGCGTGATTCCGAGCCCGAGCTTCCGTCGAGCGTGCATCGTTCGCGAAAAATATGGTGCTCAATGCGCAGGCAACACAACACAAACGCCGTGAGAGACCCGCTCGATCGAAACGCATTGCAGAAATATCTGGTGACTTCCGTGTCTCAAGCAAGCAGCTCGTGAGGAAAACAGCTTGCAGAGTCACACGCCAGTACTAACGCGCGTTTATTGTTATTCGAGAACTGCGGTCGGTGATTAGTGACGACCGTAGCAGGGAGAAGAAGAAAAAAGAGAAGAAGAAGAAGAAAAAGATGAAGAAGAAGTAGTCGAGAATCGATACAGAACTTTTTAACACTCGTGTGAGCTGCGTTGTATTCCGTTGGTCATGGATAATGAGACTCCTCCGTGTGTCATCTACGAGTCCTGCGAGCCCATTCGAGTGGATCGATCGCAACCTATCAACGATTCGCATGTTTCGTCCTGCATTTCGATCTCCGCGTCGACGTGCACATATATAGACGCGCATGGGCGCATACGCATACACCTACACACACATACAGACAGCAGACACACACACACACACACACACACACACACATACACACACACACACACACACACACGACCTACGTATTATCACACTACACGGTGCACTCGCTTACTTCCTATTTATTTCGTACACGATGACAATCGACTCGTTTTATTTGCTTCTAATGAATACTCGTTACTCGTTAAATGATACATGATAATAATCGATATCGATGACAATACAGAAAGTGCCGACATTGTACATATAGGACGTACATGGTTCTCTTTACTGGATTCCATTCCCATCGGCCGCATTCCCATTTCCTTCTCGCCCAGTGGTGCCGCCCGTAGTCTCTCTTCTTCATGAAAACGCGAACGCATGATATTCGCAGGATCAATAAATCGTTACGCGCGCGGAATCGATTTCTCGAGTGCAAAGAAGGCGGCCGAAGAGGACAGATCTACTTTTAGCTAGATTCTCAATTCGCGCGAGCAACGGCGTCGACCGATCATCTCCACTGGGCACCGTCGCGACGCTGACTTTCGCGAAGATCGTTCGTAAAAAGCGAATGAAATCGCCGTGAAAGTGACGGAGAGAGGGAGAGAGAGAGAGAGAGAGAGAGAGAGAGGGAGAGAGAGAGAGAGAGAGAGAGAGAGAGAGAGAACATCAAAGCTCCATATACCCGTCAATAATAACCGTAAACGTCCGGCACTTCCGGCGAGTCGAGCGAACGAAAAGTAAAGAGATTAGCTTCTGCACCTTGCCGTACGCGACGCTTTTACTTCTGTTCAATGTGGAACAATAGATATGGCTGCCGCGAAGAACCGATCGATGGAGGCGAAAACCGGGACGTGCTCGCAGAGAGGATGCGGGATCTTTAAGAGTTTTATCCGCACGGGATCAACCGAATGATTCGCTCCCGCGCGGCGTCGTCGAAAGCGATCGGAGAGTCGTGGAATTGCAATGTTGTGGAATTCGACATTGTCAATTCGACATGTCATGGAATTCCACGATCGGAGAGTCGTGGAATTTCTGTCGTTTCCCGTTTCTTCCAAGCGTGTCAACGGCGACTCCACGAACGATCTGTCGCAAGTGCGCGAGCACGATGCCGAGAGCCGAGACGGTCTCGAATCGGTCGACGCCGCTTCCCCGTCGTTCTTCAACAATGTAATTACACTTACATATAATCATTTCTCGCGCCTTAAAGTGATTTAAGTATAATTCTGTGTGATAATAACGGTGCCACGCGCGCACCCGCGCTACCGACACACAATCTCGTTTACGATAATTGGTTCTGAAGAAACAAACCCGGCAACCCAATATCGGCGTACCGCGCGCGAGTGGAGGAGGACTTCCGGCGCGGAGCGCGAGCTCGCGAGCCCGCCAGGAGAGACTCCCTCCCTCCTCGAGGACTCCCGAGTCGCCTGCGCGACGCACTACGAAGACGCTAGATAAACGTGAGACGCTTTTACCACACCGCTACTACGTACATCTCTACGCGCCTCAGACGCAGCGCGACCAGCCGGATTTCATGCATTTCCCAAGTGATCCGTGAGCGCGCACGATAAATGCTACACGTTGCTGAATCATGAATTCTCCCCTCCGATCCGCTCTTCTCGGAGTTCGACTTGTTGACATTGGACTTGTCGATATCGGCGGCTGTGTCGTTTCTTACGTCACCGCGAGCGGGGCGAGCGAGCAGCCCGTCCCTCTGACGACCGACGACGACGGGTGTCGGTGTCGTTGACGTCGTCGTCGTCGTCGTCGTCGTCGTCGTCGTCGTAG